GCTGCTTTTATCATAAAAAGGCCTGCCAGAGTAACCCTGCACCGGGCGTCTGTTTCTTTAAATGCACCCATGCTGTTTGTTTGTTAAAGCATCTGGATCTAAAAACAGGATATATTTAAAAAGTCATAACTCTGCCCATCCAGACATCTTGAATGTTTGATTTTTAGACATGAGAATGTTTCGATTGTGTCGATCTATTACATAAAAAGATGGCAAAGGGACATCGCATCCACAAAACTTTAATTTACATATAGAAAAAGCAGTTAATACAAAATTGAAGTTAATACAGTTAATACAAGATTAGCGGTCTACCTAAAAGCAAATCTGAATGTTGATATCCAATGCTTCAAAGGTTTTAAAACATGAGCAATCCAAAAGAAGAAAACCTGGAAAGCAATATGATTAAAACTCTTTAGAGTTACTCTTAAAAAAAAAAAATTATAATAATAAAAAAAATAACTATTTAGAGAAATTGCAGAAATGTTCTGAGTTCTGTTAGGATACATTTAGTAGATAATCATAGTTAGAGCAATGATCACATTTTCATTTAATGACTGGAGCGGTCCCCTGTGCTGGTCCTCAGGGCCCAGAGTCCTTCATGCTTTTAGAATAGAAAATAGAAAATAAAATCCCTTTATTGTCCCACATTGGAGACATTCTGGTAGTTTTAGATGCCTCTATAAACATGTTTTCTTCATCTGGTCTCCAGTCCAATTTATGTTTAAACAATGTGTAAGAGCTTTCTGACAGTTACCACATGGTGAAAGCAGGTGATAATATTCAAACCCATTGTTTCTATCCCAGGGAGTCAGCCAGAGAATGGCTATTACAGAAGTTAAAAATTCAAAAAATGAATAAATAAGTTAATTAAATCAAAATATGTTTATTGATATTGAATGGGACACAGAAACTGAGCTAAAATCCCAGTAATCTATGGCAGTAAACCAGTGACAGGTTGCAAACTGTCACTGGTTTAGCTCCACATGAATCTGCCTCAGACTAACTGTGTAAAGGAAGCGCAGACTGACAAAGCGCTGAGAAAACTTTATCCAGACAACAATGTTTAGTTCAAGCACAACTATCATTTAGAAGTGAAGTTTTCTTCCTATCAGGAGTTTAAAGCAGAAAGGTTGACTTTGATCAACGTTGTTAGGAAGTGTGGCTGCGTCACCAGCCTCCATCTTCAGTGTGTTTGCTGCTGCTACTATATCTTCATTTTAGGACTAAATGATGCTCAGCAGATTGTTGCTTTTGTTCCCAATCTTTCCATGAACTTGTTAGGAAGCCCCCAGACCGTGTTTGGTGTGGATGAAAGGTTTAGAGGAGGAGAAAGGAGGAAAAACCCAGAGATGATCAGCCTGTTCCGCTGTGAATCGGTGCAGTTTAGGAGCTCCAGTAACAAAGTGCGGAGAGCCTGAGAGATGTTCATGAGCTGAACATGAAGAGAAACAAGTCCGCTATGGAGGCATTCCACTGTCAGCCTGTAGAGCCGAGAAAACACAGAGTTTTCACCTGTTTTATGCTGCCGAGAAAACACAAACACAAGCCGTCCATGTTGGAGAGAGGAGCCCAGAGCGGGCTGAGTCTCTACGGTTCTCACGGTGTGTTTAAGAGCAGCCTGCTGCTCAGGATTTCTCATTCACCATCTGATTGTGGTCGAAGAGCAAACAGACAGAAACAAGAAGAAGAAAATGGCAGAAGTGGCTCCAGCTCCCGCTGCGGCTCCGGCCAAAGCGGCCAAGAAGAAGGCGTCCAAGCCGAAGAAGAGCGGCCCCAGCGTCAGCGAGCTGATCGTCAAGACCGTGGCCGCCTCTAAGGAGCGGAACGGCGTGTCTGCTGCCGCCCTGAAGAAGACTCTGGCTGCAGGAGGATACGATGTGGATAAGAACAAAGCCCGCGTTAAGATTGCCATCAGAAGCCTGGTCACCAAAGGCACCCTGCTCCAAACTAAGGGAACCGGAGCCTCTGGCTCCTTCAAGATGAGCAAGAAGGTGGAGAGCAAGGCCAAGAAGCCCGCTAAGAAAGCAGCCGCTCCTAAAGCCAAGAAGCCCGCTGCCGCCGCTAAGAAGCCATTGTTGTTGTGATACTGTGTCGCGCATGCGTGTTTAGAGGCGACGCTATGACGCATGCGTGTAAAAAAAAAAATGCGGTTAGAGCTTAAAGATGGAAACGCGAAAACGGCGTTTCAAAATCTTCCCACTCTGAAGGCCGAATAAAAAAAAGACCGTTAACAGACCCCCGAAACGCCGTTTTCGTATGGATGAGAGGCTGGTTTGGTGAAAAATTTGTGCGTTTAGGCCAGGGTTTGGCTTCGTGTGGACGGGGCCTAAGACTCAAACTCACTGCGGATCCTGACATTTGAATTGAGAAAGCTTCCTGGAGAGGTGGCGAAACGTCTTCAAATCTTGAAAACCAAGTCCAGTGGATATTTTTTGAATTTTTACGGAATGAATATATATATATATATAAATTTGCGCTCCCTCAGCATGCGTGGGTTCTATTCGGGTACTCTAGCCCCTACAAAGCACAGAGAGGAAAACAGCAAGAAAAGGGACAAGAACAGAGGGACAAAACGTAGAACAAATAATGTATGTCTGAAATTTTAAAATCTGTATCTGTATAATGGGTCTGTCTTGTGTGTTGTCTGCTCAATTCAGAGGGCCCCCTGCCTGACTTTGCCTAGGGCCCCAAATTTTCTAAATCCGCCCCTGACTATCCTTAACTATTTGTTTATTTATTTTATATACAGCATATATATCCATCCATACATCCATCCATACATCCATCAATCAATTTTCTAGCATTTGAGGGAGTATTTGATCAATTATCACTTTATCTTTTTTTTTTCTTGGATTATTTCATGATCCTATTGCTAAATAGTGGCTCTCCAATCGGCAGCCATGACTGAGCAGCAGCTCTGAGCTCCAGGCGGAGCTGACTCTTCCCTATTATTTTATTCTTATACATTTTTTCTAAGGTCCACATTTGTGTGACCATTTTCAATAATCTTTCTGCAGCAGTCTTACTGAACATTATCTAAACTTTACAGAATTATTATAAAATACACATAAATAAACATAAAAAAAATAAATAATTATTAAATAAAGTTGAAGATTATAATGGTCAATAAATACATAAGGTAATTATTACAAAGGTGAATAAATAAAGAAGCTAATTTATAAAAATATTTAATATATATATATATATATATATATATATATATATATATTTAAATATGGTAGAGCTGGTCCTCCATAGAAACTTTCCCCTTTATTCGTTTAAATGAATCATTAAGGACGATTTTTGGATATTGTTAAATCAATCATTGAAGATTCTTCCTCACATTTCCGCCTTTCCCACATTTGTCTTAGTCCGTTAGTCTTTTCGCGCCTTATTTTAAAATTTCTGACTTAACCAATTGCTGAGTTAAGATGGTGGTACCACGTGCTCAATTTGGTACAATCAGCAGCCTTCTCCCGTCACAGGACTATTTATAAAGCCGCATTTGCCCTCAGACTTTCATTCGCATAGTGTGAAGCAAACATTTCGTGATGGCCAGAACCAAGCAGACCGCCCGTAAATCCACCGGAGGAAAGGCTCCCAGGAAGCAGCTGGCTACCAAGGCTGCCCGGAAGAGCGCCCCGGCTACCGGCGGCGTCAAGAAGCCTCACCGTTACAGGCCCGGTACCGTGGCTCTCCGAGAGATCCGCCGCTACCAGAAATCCACCGAGCTGCTCATCCGCAAGCTGCCCTTCCAGCGCCTGGTCCGGGAGATCGCTCAGGACTTTAAGACCGACCTGCGCTTCCAGAGCTCCGCCGTCATGGCTCTGCAGGAGGCCAGCGAGGCTTACCTGGTCGGTCTCTTCGAGGACACCAACCTGTGCGCCATCCACGCCAAGAGGGTCACCATCATGCCCAAAGACATCCAGCTGGCCCGCCGCATCCGCGGAGAGAGAGCTTAGATTACTGCTCCAACACAACAACGGCTCTTTTAAGAGCCAACCAACTACTCCAGAGCAAAATCCACTGAATTATAAATAAATGCTTACTCATTTAAATATACTTAGGTGGGTTAGAAGTAATTGTGTATTCTGTTGAGGTGAATACATGTTGCCCCTCATAGTAATTATTTTTATCTACAAAAACCTTTATAGATTTGTGTGTACATATACCCCTCTCTTTTTGGTTATTAACACAATTATAAATTGTCTAATAGGAAAAACAAAATCTGTCTGAATTGTGGAAAGTATAGTTTCACTGGTCCACTGTTGGCGTTTGAAATACAATACACAAACCCACGTTTATGGCAAGCTATTTTATCATAAAAGCTACGTATTTTTAAGACTTAAAACAAATTTTACTAGCAAAAAATACATTTTGACTATCCTTAACGATTCAATTATCAGAATTTTACCTAAGACATCCTAAACTGGAGACCACCTACACATGATTCTGACGTCATTTAGACTAGTCAGAATTGAATTGGAATACACATTTTTTAATTAACTTCTCCAGCTCTCTGTGGGTGAGAGACGGGGTACACCTTGGACAGGTCGCTAGTCCATCGCAGGAAGACGGAGACAAAAAGGACAAACAACCATTCACACACACAGAAGCCAATTAACCTGAGTTGAGTTTTTGGACTATCTACTGCCCCACTGACCAGCCCCTCTATGGATCAATGAGGGGAAAAAAAGAAAAGGTCTTCATAAATCTGCAGTTTTCCTCCATGAGAAGAAGCCAGATATAAATAAAAAGATTTTATTTGATCAGTTCGATCACTGGGCAGTTGCAACCCCCCATCAATCAATAAATAAACAAATAAATAAAAACTAAAGCTGATTTTATGATAAAATGGCCTGCCATAAACAAAAAAAACGTAATTTGCACTGTTCTGATTGGGCGACAGGGGTTTTTGCTACATGTAACCAATCAGTGAGCAGATAAGCGTCTATAAGTACTCCCAATGCATCGCCCCCTGGTACATTCTATCCCTTCTCAAAGATAGAGCTAGATCATGTCTGGACGCGGAAAGACCGGAGGCAAAGCCAGGGCTAAGGCCAAGAGCCGCTCCTCCAGAGCAGGGCTGCAGTTCCCCGTTGGCCGAGTTCACAGGCTGCTGAGGAAAGGGAACTACGCTCAGCGCGTCGGTGCCGGTGCTCCTGTGTATCTGGCTGCGGTGCTGGAATATTTGACCGCTGAGATCCTGGAGTTGGCTGGAAATGCTGCCCGCGACAATAAGAAGACCAGGATCATCCCCCGCCACCTGCAGCTGGCTGTCCGCAACGATGAGGAGCTGAACAAGCTGCTTGGTGGAGTCACCATCGCTCAGGGAGGAGTTCTCCCCAACATCCAGGCGGTGCTGCTGCCCAAGAAGACCGAGAAACCCGCCAAGAAGTAAAGCTACGACACCTGAAACCAATCAACGGCTCTCTTAAGAGCCACACAAATATTCTCAAGAGCGGGATTCAATTAAAATGGTTTTAATTATTAGTCGATGGTTCGGGGCTATGAAGTACGGAAGAGGATTAGGGCCACTGGAAAAAAAAAGTTAACTGATTTTTTTATTTCAGTATAGTATGGGGAAAAAGTCAGAATTCTGACTTTATTCTCAGAATTCTGAGAAAGAAGTCAGAATTCTGAGAAAGAAGTCAGAATTCTGAGAAAGAAGTCAGAATTCTGAGAGAAGTCAGAATTCTGACTTTTTTCCCATGTTAAACTGAAATAAAATTTAAAAATCAGTTTACTTTTTATTTTATTTTTTTCCAGTGGCCCTAATCCTCTTCCGTAATGAAGGACCAACTCTGCCATATTTAAAAATAAATACAGAAATAAATAAATGCTCAAATGTATAAGCATACAATTAATTGCCAAAAAAGTGAGACATAAATGTATATAACTCTTAATTAGCTTCTTTATTTATTTGCCTTTAATATTTACCTTATTTTTCTGTCCTTTATAATCTTCAACTTTATTTTTTAATTACTTATATTTTAAGTATTTATTTATGTGCATGTTATAATATTTTTGTCTGTTTTATTCTTCCTTTGTATTTTTTTACCTTAGTTTTTTCTTCGCCGCTGTTTATTTCTCTCTGCCCTTTTTACATGTGAGGAGGGGGTGTGTCCTAGAGAGTCAACTTCTGCTCATTGGTTGGCTTGGCTGTCCATCTTCTTAACTCACAGAGCTCAGAGTACTAAGTTAAATGTTCTCTTTTCTGTTGCTGTTGTTCAATAAAAGTACGTTTTAAGATCATTTGAGGCGAGAACATTATACTTTTAAGCATCACCATATGGCCCATTCACAGTAGAGACTGACACGGGAGTGGATTTTCACTCCTGTGTTCCCATTCAGAATGACTCCCGCTCCTGCTCCACTCCCATTCTTGTTGTTTTTGAGCGCGGGTGAAAAACTCAGAGCGGAAGTTACTATTGGTTTGCTCCCGCTCCCGTCTGCTCCCGTTAATGTTTAATCCTGCACGTCCCAATCCCGTGATCGTTACTAATACTGACTCCCATCCCACGGGAATCCCACGGGAATCCCGTGACCACGGCTATGCCGAGAGAGGGCCGCTGCGACAAAAAATCGCCATCATCACCAGCGATTCTTCACACACGGCTATTCCGAGAGAGGGCCGCTTCAGATGGGCTGTGGTTATGATGCGTTCACACCGGGGGCAGCTGGCGCGACAGAAGCAGCGAGTTTACATGCAAAGTCAATGGTTGACGCGCGTCAAGGCGCAGCAAAAGGTCCCGCAGGGCGTTTTGAGCAGCAAGCGCAGCGCGTCTGAGCAGCTGAAGCAGCGCGTCGGGCGCGTTTAAGCATCTGACGCGCGTGACGCGCCGCAAACGCGTTGCTGCTCGAGATGGAAAAATTGAATTTTTGCTGCTCGACGTGCCGCGTCAACCAATCAGAGAAGCTGATCTGGGAGCTGGCTGGGAGAGAGACACATCGCTGATGACACAGACCGCTCTGATCCCTCCTCTTAAACAGTTTATTAACGCATAATTAACTTAAAATATATACATCTGCCGGCAGAATATGTTCGCTTTTATTATTCTGGTGCCTGCAGATCGGATTATTTAGATGAAAAACACCTACCAGCCGCCGCGGTGAACCGCGAGGAGGCAATCCGGCCAGAGGCTGCTGATGAAGGGATTCCTTCTGTCGGCGCACCGCCGGTATGTGGGGGTCTGAGCGGCTCCGACAGAAATAATATTGGGAGGCAGGATTGTAATCTGGATCAACTGACTGCACTGATGAAGTTTTCAGGTGTATTTTCTCACTTAAAAACATATTAAAACTACTTTATTCCCACTGATCACAGCAAATATAGCTGCAAGGCAGAGAAAGGATAGTAAAGCTCCGCCCAACGCGCGTCAGAGCCACTTTTGCACCGCGCAGCCAGAGCAGCAAAGCTGCTTCAGCCGCGCGTCAGAACTAACTGGTACAAGCAGCAAAAATGAAGCAGCAGACGCGATTTTGCTGCTTTTGCAGCGTCCGGTCTGAACGTAGCATTAGACCTGGCTGCCGTCAGCTTCGGAGCTTTGCTGGTTGCCACGGTCATCTCAAGTTCATCTCAAGTTCGTCACGGGACGGGACAGGATTTAGATTTCTACTCTGGCCTGGGATCGGGACAGGACACCATTTTTTTCTGTGGGAGTGGGACGGGACAGGAGTGAAAATCCACTCCCGTGTCAGTCTCTACTGTGCCTAGCCTAGCTAGGTAAGCTAAAAGCAGCCTAGCCTAAAGCTTTACTAAAGTGTATTTTTTGTGATTCACAGGAAGCATTATGCCGTCTTAACAACTCGGAGACTAATTGCAGGCGCTATGAACCGGCAGGGGTAAGGTTTAAAGAATATGCTTTCATTCTGCGGTAAAATGACATGGATACGGATGGATACCGACCATAGCTGTACTTTTTTTTTTTTCACAGACTACAGTCGCCTCACAATGAGGCGGTGACCTCCTATTTGCTCGGATTTGCACGATGTTGATAAAGACGACATTGTGTGTAAATGACTTGTTTTAATGTTTTCTCCTTCCTTGTTACTGTGACTTGCGTTAGATTTTTTTTTTTTTTTATTCATACCACTCTCATTTAATTGTTTTCCAGCTGCCTGTAAGACGTATTATGAGACGGTATGCAGGAGCTTCAGATACACGCTGCTAGCCAGCACGCTGCGTACGGAGGCTGCCAGGCTATCTGCTCGGAGTCGGGCCAGAAGAAAGAGGGTAAGACTTTATTTGTTGACTATTTTTCAGGTGCATTGATAGATGTGTTGTGTCCATATGCAGTGCGCTGATTCATTGTTTTTTTTTTTTCCAGCTGCTGAAGGCGAGGCAGAGTGTGCTGGCAGATGAGGAAGTGGAACTCTGTAAGTCCGCCACCGTCGACCTCATGTCCGACTGTGTAGCCTGATAGAGCAATTTCACACAGATTTTGGATCAGTGGTTCACCTAACATATGAGCTATAGAGGAAAGACACCTGAATCTTAAAAAATACTTATAGAAAAAGACTAAATTAAAAAGGGTGTGCCTCATTTATATAATCTAGTAGCAGGATTACCCTTGGATTTGTCTCATTTGTTCATAAAACCAGGGATATGTTCTTTTTTTTGTTTAGGAACTAGTTTGACGGTTTAGGTGGCATTTTCACTAGTCATAATTAACTTTTAGACATCTAAAATTATCATTCAGACAATCAAAATGTAGTTTTTCCTAGTTAAAAGCTTTAATCTAAAAAAAAAAAAAACTGAAATAAAGTCAGAAGTTGATTTTTAATGATACAACGGCATGCCATACCATCATGCCGTTTGGAAAGCTGCAATCGCCATTTACTGCGTGTATTCGTTTGACAGATAGGAAGGTTTGCAAATATTAAAACAACTGTAGGATTATTAGCTCTTTAGAGGCAGTGGGTGGCTCTTAAAAGAGCCGTTGGGTTGTTGTAATGTTGGTTGCGCAGTTTACTTGGAGCTGGTGTACTTGGTGACAGCCTTGGTGCCCTCAGACACGGCGTGCTTGGCCAGCTCCCCGGGCAGCAGGAGGCGCACGGCGGTCTGGATCTCCCTGGAGGTGATGGTGGAGCGCTTGTTGTAGTGAGCCAGACGAGAAGCCTCTGAGGCGATGCGCTCAAAGATGTCACTGACGAAGGAGTTCATGATGCTCATGGCCTTGGAAGAGATGCCGGTGTCAGGATGGACCTGCTTCAGCACCTTGTACACGTAGATGGCGTAGCTCTCCTTCCTGCTCTTTCTCCTCTTCTTTCCTCCTTTGCCGGCCGTCTTGGTCACGGCTTTCTTGGAGCCCTTCTTGGGCGCAGACTTGGCGGGTTCAGGCATGGTTCCTCACTCTTAGCAGAGAGCAATGATTTGCAGCGAGCCAAACACTCCTCTATAAACACATTGAGTGTAAACTGAGCTGTACCGTTCCCTGGCTGTGATTGGCTGAGCTGCCCACAAGGTTTACCGGAGGAGGCGGAGCTTCACATGGGTTTGAAAATTCCCGCCCGATCTGTTTAGCAGCGACACAAAAGGCGCCACATCCTCAGAGCCCAAACAAAGAAAAACAGCGTTTAATTGTGTTTATTTGGGGACTGATTGAGTAAAAAAAGAAACATATCTAAATCCATCAGAGGCTTCATTGAGACTAAAACCTGAATGCTGCTCATTTAGGTAGGAGCCATTAAATATAACTCTGGCTCCACATTTCTCCTGGAGTTTAAGGATGTTTTTCCAAGCAGGTTTCTAACAGGAACATTTGGAAATGAGAGCATAGAGAGAATAAATGTTAACAGAGAGCTTTGCCACTACATCCAGATGATCCTAGAGTTAGACCACTGTTACCATGATATGGCTGGAGCCAGTGATGTCTCCAACAGTTCAGCAATCTGCCATCAGACCACTGAACTGTTGGAAAAACTAAATCATGTTCCTCTGCATCAGACCCACACCAAACCAACACTGCAAAACTGCATCATAATTATTTATTGCTCTGATCTTCCATATCAATGCGCACCATGTTTTTTATTCTCCCACAGTTTACATTTGATCACTGCTGCACCTCTAAAAAAGGGAAATACGAAAGGTGTACAAAACGACATACGTAGTCACGTTTAGAAATATGTGAATGATGTAATGAAGTGATAATGTGGCAGTCAATGATTTTTATTTTTATTGGGGCAAAACTTCCAGTCAAAGTGGGCCTGATGATACCATTGCATAAACTAAATTTCTCTGGTCTTACGATGAATCCTGTTAAACTCTCTTGGCCATTTAATACATACATTTTTAAGTATTTCATTTTATTTTTGCCCCTCAAGAAGCAAGCCGTAAAATCATGTAGGTATGGTCAATTTTCCTTTGCATTGTTAATGTTTTAACTACTTTAGTGTTTGTAGCCACTCAGCTCCACGGCAGAGTGCCTAAATTATTACATTCTGGAAATTTATTTATCTAATGTTTTATGATTCGTATTTGGAAATTTTGCTCTTGAAGGGAAGCAGATGTGTGGCCCTTAAAAGGGCCGTTGTGTTTGTTGAGCAGGAGTGAGAGTTTAACCTCCAAAGCCGTACAGGGTGCGGCCCTGCCTCTTCAGAGCGTACACCACATCCATGGCGGTGACGGTCTTCCTCTTAGCGTGCTCGGTGTAGGTGACGGCGTCACGGATGACGTTCTCCAGGAAAACCTTGAGCACACCGCGGGTCTCCTCGTAGATCAGACCTGAGATCCGCTTGACTCCACCACGGCGGGCCAGACGGCGGATGGCGGGTTTGGTGATTCCCTGGATGTTATCACGGAGAACTTTACGGTGACGCTTAGCGCCTCCTTTACCGAGTCCTTTACCTCCTTTGCCTCTTCCGCTCATGGTTTCGCTGTTATTCTAACAGAAGTGATAAAGATGGAGGCTTCAGTCGCTCTTATCTTTGTCCTGAGGACGTGCTAGAAGACAGAGGTGGTTCCGTTCTACTTCTCCACCTCTCCATGGTGGTCCTATAGCGCCACCCACCGATCAGAAGATCAAATTATCACCATTCACTGTTATAACTTGGTAGTGATCCGCATCTCGTTGATTCTGCTGCTTTGCTTTCTTACTTGTCGCGCTGTTTGTTTCAGGATTTATCATGATCCTCACATCTGCTGATAATAAACCTTCCAGAAGAACTCTTCCCCTTTCAGGACCTTTCATAGAGCTGTGTGCTCTGAATCCTGCATCTCAATATGGTGCTGAAGCTGCAGCGTCTCTGACAGAAACAATCCTGCAGAGGATATGAGCCAGAGGTGCTGATGGCACCAAAGGGATTCATCTCACCTTCTCCACCAGTTATTAGAACTGCATCCATCAGGCAAACATTACCACAGTAAAAAAAGCCACAAACCAGTTTAAAAAAAGTATAATCATGATATACTATTTCAGGGCCATATTCTATAATATGTAATATATATTATAACAGGGCCTATAGGTCTATTACAATACAATAAAAGTCAGTAAATAGATTGAGATTCCCTACTTTACTGTCATATACGGTTCAGTGCACACAACCAGGGTCTGTGACACAAAGACATCATCAGGATGGGGAAGAATCATCAGGTTTTTGAGAGCTGGAACCTGAGTCCACCCGCTCTGTTTAAGGTTGTTTTTTCCCCCCAAACCATCTCAACTCCCATCTCTATGCAGGGGGACCAAATATCTCACCAGGTCAGTCAGGCTGACAATGACCCTTAACCACTGCCGTTTCAGAGGAATGGGCCAGTATCTATGGAGGACAAACTCTGCCACATTGAAAAATAAATACAGAAATAAATAAATGCTCAATAAATAAATAAGCATATCATTAATCTTTAACTTTATTTATTTATTACTGTTTTTTAAGTATTTATTTTTTGGCATGTGATAATATTTTTGTTTATCTTTCCTTTGTATTTTTCACTGTATTTATTTCTTCCATGCTATTTATTTCTGCCTGTCGTTTTTACATTTCTGAATGCATTTCTGCCTCATTATGTAAATGAGGAGGGCTGTGTCTTAAAGGGTGAACTTCTGCCCATTGCTTGGAGGCCCATCTTCTTAACTCACAGAGCTCAGAATATTGAGTTAAAAGTTCTCTTTTCTGTTTCATTTATTTATATCTGTATTTATTTTAAAATATGGCAGAGTTGGTCCTCCATAAGGATCGGGTATTGCAGGCCAATAACGACCTCAGCAACTCCCATTATTAAGGGATGGAGCTGGTTTTCCAGCTTCAATGTTAATGTTTTATTACAAGGCTTTTGTTTGGCTACTCTATAAAAGCCTGGAATTTAACGCTTATTCGAACATTTTGAATTGAAAAAGCTTCCTGGAGGGGAAGCTAAACGTCTTAAACTTGGGAAACAAAGTCCAGTGGATTGTTGTCTTTAACATTTTAGAATGACTATGACCTGAATGACTGAGAATCTCCACCAGCACAAACAACCGTACATTTATTTTTCGATTTTTTTTTTTAGGCAAATATAGAGTATTTTCATTTTTCAATCCACAATGATTTACTCATAAAAGTTGTATTCATGTGATTAAAATATTCTATATGAGGCATATTGTTGACTGTAAAACCATTAAAAATCACAGTAAAATTAGGTTCTTAAAATAAAAATTCAGCTTTCTAAATAAAAATTGGCCCCCTTATGGTTACTTTTAGTTTTCATCCTCATTGTTGAAAGTTTGAATGAATGAATAAATAAATAGGAATTTATTTCAGACAATTTGAAAAACAACAATAAATGAATTAACCAAATACACACAAAAGACACTAGTTAACATCAACCAAACCAGACACCAATTTCCAAACTAACTAAATTAACCAAAACATAAATAGAAAAAAACCCTCCACCAAATAAACCTGTCAGTATATACAGCCAGAGAAATTACATTGATTAAAAGAAATTGTCTTAAAAGAGGTATAAAGAATAAACACTTATTATTCATACCCCCTCTGCCTCTAATTGCACTTAAATTAACTTAGTTACCTTCCTGTTAAACTTGTTTTTTATCCAATATATACACACCAACACAAAATTATACATACATATAAACAATAATATGTGGGTACATACAATTATATACCCACAAAAAAAAAAACTCTTCTTCAGCAATCGCGGGCGTTCTTCCCCCCTTTTTCCTCCCCACCCACCGATCACCAGAACAAATTTTCAAAATGCAGCATCTCCTACAGAGGATATGCGCTTTATAAATAAACCGAATTGAATTGGGATATAGTATGAACCTGTTAATCCATATGATAGTGTGGAGAGTAGCTATATTTATAGATAGTTTTCCAATATAATAACACTTTTCTTTTTATCATACTCTGATAGTTTAACAGGGAATGTATGTACATTGAGGTTTGAGACCTCCAAATATGTTAGTGAGGTAATTGGGGACACAATACCAAAATAATTCAGTTTGTAATCCAGGATTTTAGACAATTAAATCCAAGATTATATTAAGACACTCAAAATCATTTACCTTCAGACCGCTGTATCTAATTTACCATTTACCATTTTTACTCTTCTAAGGCAGTGTAGTCTCTTCCTCCAAATTAAGTTCATTTTCATTTTTCATGGTTTTAATCAAGTTATTTGGGATTAAATTCAATTTATTTCTATATCGCAAATTCACAACACACGTCATCTCAAGGCACTTTCCAGTTCACCAGATCATACAGTCAAATTAATTTAAAATTTTCTATCTAAGGAAAATCAGCTGATTGCATCGACTCATTGACTCAAATACAATCCCTCACACTAAGCATGCTTGTAGCGACAGTGGAGAGGAAAAACTCCCTTTTAACAGGAAGAGACCTCCAGCAGAACCAGGCTCAGTGTGAGCGGCCATCTGCTGAGGCCCACTGGGGTTCAAGGAGACAGAAGCAGAGATACAAAAAAAAAACTGTAAAAGGCGGCCCGTCCAGGAAACACACAGCCAGGCAGATGAGCTCTGAGCCAGCTCCCATGTCAGAGGATGAAGAGAGCACATCCAGCCAGTCACGAGAAACAGGAGAATAGAGAGAGAATGAAGCAGAATGATGAAAAAGGGGTCCCTATGTCCTCCAGCAGTCTAAGCCTATAGCAGCAGAACTATAGAGATAGATCAGGATAACCTGAGCCACTCTAACTAGAAGCTTTATCAAAAAGGAAAGTTTTAAGCCTAGCCTTAAAAGTAGACAGGGTGTCTGCCTCACGGACTAAAACTGGTAGTTGGTTCCACAGGAGAGGAGCCTGAGAACTAAAAGATCTGCCTCCCATTCTACTTTTAGAAATTCTAGGAACCACTAGTAAACCTGCAGATTGAGAGTGAAGTTCTCTGTTAGGAACATAAGGAACAATCAGATCTCTAAAGAAGGAAATTCTAGAAACCTCTTTGAAATGGGATTTAAATGACAGGTCCTGATCAAAAACAAACACCAAGATTTTTTACTTTATTATGTGATAGCAATCTTGCAAGTAGAATAAGTCAGTCTTGAGAGGCACTCTATTTTGGATAGAAAGATTCTCCTTACTATGTTAAGGTCATTTTAAGGCCACAAATTAAGTTTGGAATTACATGTTTGATTAAGTTTTCAATGTTTCAAGTTGCACCTAGAGTTTTGGTTATGATAGTTCCTAATTATATAGTTTTCGATTTAATTGGGAGTCATAGCGCCGCCTCTAAACACGCATGCACAGTATCACAACAACAATGGCGCCGTACTGTGTTGAATGGTTGCTGCTCATGCTACTCACCCTGCTGTCGGGCTTACAACAGAATCTTCTTCTTCTGGAATATCTCCAGGAAGAACAGAGCAATATCGACGACATAGTTCAGCACCTGAATTTGACTTAACCACGAAAATGGACCCGCAGGGCCATTTTCCGGTTTGGTTGTTGTATAAATATTACTGCGCATGCCAAACATTTCGTTGCCTGTTTTTACCTATTTTTGCTTTGGCACCACAGCGCCACTTACAGGCCTGGCATACATTTTGCAGCGTTTTCATGCATTCGTGTGGACGATCACATTTATTTTACGTCTCCGTCTTTACAACAAACCTTCTGGAAAATATTAGCGTTTCGTGTTTGTTTTGACTTTGTGTGGACGGGGCCTTATTCATCAACTTGAAGACAGTTTTGACCAAAATTAGCACATTTTACCAGTCTGTACTTCCTATTTTGACACTTTTAGGTTTAGAACCAAAGTTATGCATTGCTTCCCTTTATATACTTTAAACAAGACAGTAAGAAATCCACTCCGCTTAGGGTCCTCTAAATCAGAGGCATGTTCTTGTAAGTGAACGCGTCGGCCAAGACTGCATGACAATTCAGAGTAATATACTCTTTCTAAATTAAATTATAAATGTACAGTTTTAACTGGCCATTTGAAATCTTGAATAGGCAGAAATTCCTATGACATTTCTAATATACTAAACAGTCAAACCCATTTCTTTTTTTTATTAGGTCAATTGAGAGAACAGTACAGATAAAGCATAAACTTTCGTTTTTGACCTTCCATTTAGTTGAGATATCTCAAAATGTGGTTGAAGATAACTTGAATTATTCTCCCCATCAAAAATTCTTAAACATTCAGAATAGTGAAAATGTTTAAGAAAAACTTTGGCATATAAAAGAGCTTAGTTTTCTGTTATAACGGCGTATCAAACTAATTTTTGAAGGCATACCGTCTTTATTTGAAGACTGCAAACCCTTCCTTTCAGCTTGTTACCACATTAGAGCTTTTATACAAGATAATCATTTCCTAAGCTTCCAAAACAAACGCATTTTTAAGTGCACTATATAGTTCACTAAAACTGTTCATTTTACTATAACTACCACTTTTTTATGTGTATTTTCACTTGATTTGCATAAGAGCATTTTAATTGAATCCGGCTCTTGAGAATATTTGTGTGGCTCTTAAAAGAGCCGTTGGTTGTTTTTAGGTGTCGAAGCTTTACTTCTTGGCGGGTTTCT